GAAGACCTGGGTTCAAATTTTTGCTATTTTTATGTAGCACAATGAGCTGACCTGTGGCCCATGAAATATGTTGAAGTCTTAATAGCCATTATATCAGAATGTGACTTCATTTGAAAGTAGAATCATTGCAAATATTGCTAAGATGAGGTCACAGTAGAGTATCAGGGGCCTTGAGCCAATACGGCTGGGGTCCTTACATGAAGATGGCCTTGTGAAGGACAGAAAGGGGATGAGCGGAGAGGGAGACATTAAAGTGAAACTTCTATAAGCCAGGAATTGCCGAGGATTGCCAGCTAGCATCAGAAGCCTGTGGAAAGCGGTGCAACAGATTTGCCCTCCCAGCACAGACGAACCAACCCTGCTGACTGTGAGTTTGGCCTTCTGACTTCCAAGACTGTGAGATATACATTTTGTTTAGCAACAGCTGACTGGTGGTGATCCTGGCAGTCTGATATCAAATTTTGATATCTACCTGATATCCAATTTTGTTCGTATTTCTATGCTTCTTACTCCACCCATCCCCACTCCCCCTGCATTCCTGCCTGACAAAAGACCTTGCCCAGGTGTCTACATGCCCATATTCTGGTCTGCTCAAATGCTATCCTGTCAGCAAGCATTGTCCTGGCAGGCTGACTAGAACTTTGTCTCTCTTCCTTTTCTGGAATTGGAGATAAGTGACATGGGAACTGGTTTAATTTGCTTACCGGTGACGCTGCAAGTGCTGGCCTAGTGCTTGCATATGCTAAGTGCTCAATAAACACGAAGGTGAGTAATCACCAGCTTCTGAAGGATGAGAAGGGACCTCAGGAAGTTCCAAGGTGAGGAAGAGAAATTCTTCCCTTATGGGAGAGCCAATTAAATAAGCATAAGAGATTCATGAGGACAATTTGCTTTCCATTCAAAATTAAATCCTGTGCGAAGGTAATATATGTTCTAAAAGTATAACCCACCCAGCTTATAGGAAGGTGTGGATGAAAATCATGGTCAGAACTGAGAAGTATAAAGAGTTCATCATTGATTATTTGAAACCCTACTCTATTACACAGAAAGCAGAAACTGATCAGAGAATGGAAAGGGGCTTTGTTTCTCAGTTACAGCCGATTGAGCCACGGACACAAGAGCTCACTGTGGAAGTCCTGGACTCCATTTGTGTGCCTTGTACCAGCAGGAGAAAAGCCATGAGAAACATGACTGTTCAGTCCAGTAAGCCTAAATGAGCATGTGTACACTGGCATAAAGTCCGTGTGTCTGCTTATTGTGAATTAACAAACAAGTATGCGCTTCAGAATGATTTACTCCCTTTGATATGGCGACATCACCATCATTGTCCTATAAATACTGGCAAACATCATGCTCCCCCACACATGCGTTATTAACATGACCTAACATTTAACAAGTGTTGATAATTATGTGGATTCTACTCCGATTGACAGGCCAAGAAAGAGTCCATGAACACAGCCAGTCTGCCACCCTCTGTAGTGTGTATATCTCTAGCTAAACTTTTTTGTAGTCTAGGCAAGATCTTTTTTGCTCAAGTTTTGCTTTGGGGGCTTATTATTACATTTTTAGTACAGCCCTTAAACATATCGATATTTGTCTGTAAGGATGAATGCCTGACGCTGTATGATGTCTACTAAGGTAGTTCAGTGAGTGGATAATGGCTTTTATTTGTCTAAATGCCTCATTTGCATTCCAGGATGTCTGTTGCCAATTGGTGATTAAGAGGGTAGAGTTATTTAAAGACAAAACCTGTTGAACTTTTTTGATTCAATCTGTCAATTCAGAATTGTGCAGTGATAGTTGCAATGTCTGAATGACATTGTGTTTTTCTGCTAGTCAGCATCCCATAAATACTCCTGTACGTAGAGCTTACACAGTTCAGTCCTCCCAGCCACCTGCCTTTCTCCATTGTATTTGTCAGCTGCAGTTCGCCAAAAATTGATAGTCAATGCACCACGATAGACTTCTGCCGGGCAATTAAAAAACATAAGGTTATGGAGCCTCTGTGTGTGAGTCTGCAGCCTGCGAGAACAGAAGTGAAGAGAACAGTAGATCTGAGCACCTCGGGTGGTAAATAAAATAGGCACATGACTTAGGCAGTGAGAGGTGGGTGTGTGATTGTGAGTGTGACTGAGGTAGACATGAGTGTTGGAGCCAGGCAATCTTTGTCTGGCCTCCATTTTGCTGTAATCCACCTGGGTGAGATAGCTAAACTTATGAAGGTGCTTGCTGCCTGGTGACTTGGAACCCACACATGCAAGAACAGAACCAATTCACAAAGGATGACCTCTGACCTCCACATGGACATCCTGGCCCACATGCTCCTATATATATATATATATATATATATATATATATATATATATATATATATATATATATATATATATATATACACAAATACATACATAATAAATGTATGTAATTAACCTTTTCTTGGCCTGAAACCCAAGATAATGTTTTGTTGTTGTTGTTTGTTTGTTTTTGGTTTTTAGAGACATGGTTTCTTTGTGTGGAGCCTTGGCTATCCTGGACTAGCTTTTGTAGAACAGGCTGGCCTCAAACTGAGATCTACCTGCTTCTGCCTCTCCAGTTCTGGGATTAAAGGTGTGCGCCACTGCAGCCTGGCTCAAGATAATGTTTTAAAATTTAAGGTTGTTATTATTCTCCAGTAGTTTATTCTTATATCTCTAACTTCAAACTAGACTTATCTTAATAAATCAAAGGAATAATTTCTAGCTTCCATTTATCACCTGAAGACAGGTGGGAACAACTGTCCTTTTTTCTAGGATACTAAAGTTAGGTAGCATGTCCTTTATAATTAATTTGGGGAATACTACATTCATTGATCCTAGTTCATTTATCTAAATGGCACATTTTTAAAACACTAAAAAAAATCATTTCTCCTGTTTTGATCCTCACCCCAAATGGTAAATCCATGCTCATGCACACAATGGCAGGGTATGGAAAGCATGAAAAGAACTGAAACACTGGATTACTAAAATGAATTAAATTTATTTTATTGAGAACAGAAAAATTCTTAACTTAAATATTGCTATAAAAGAGCAGAATTTAAAATCATCATTTCTATTGTCAAAGATGACTTTAAAAATCAGTCTACTGTTTATGATTTGTCTTCACATTTACTCATTTCAATTATCTGTCCACATTTCTTCTGTGGTTAGAATACGTATTACAGAGTCAGAATTATTTTAAGGCTGCAGTAAACATCAAGAACTTGTAGTTCAACCTCCTTATTTTACAAACGAAAAGAAGGAACTAAATATCCCAAGTACAGGGGTGACAGCAACAGTGGAAGGGCCCAGACTAAGTCGCAACTGCTTTGAATCTATTAACAGGAGTACAGATAAGACCCCTTTCCTGTGCTGAATAGAAGACAGCTCCAATCCATATCATTACTCCTGAAACTCTAGACTGCCAGGGTCATGTGGACAACAAGCATCCACCGATAGTTGTGTCCTAAGGACCAGAGCTGACCTACTCGTTTGGACCACCATGAATGGGCTCCAAGTATAGCGCTGTAAGTAGGAATGTAGTGGAATTTGATTTTTTTTAAAAAGTCAAATTTTGTAAAGGGTGTTGTCTCCTTAATTTCTTTCTCAGCCCATTTGTCTTTCGTATACAGGAGGACTACTGATTTTTTTGAGTTGATTTTGTATCCAGCCACTTGGCTGAAGGTGTTTACCCCAATTTTGGGGTCACTCAGGTATACTATCATATCATCTGCAAATAGTGATACTTTGACTTCTTCCTTTCCAATTTGTACCCCCTTGATCTCTTTTAATTGTTTTATTGCTCTAGCAAGGACTTCCAGCACTATGTTGAAGAGATATGGAGAAAGTGGGCAGCCTTGCCTTGTCCCTGATTTCAGTGGGATTGATTTAAGTTTCTCTCCATTTAGTTTGATGTTGGCTCTAAGCTTGCTGTATATTGTCTTTATTATGTTTAGGTGTGTGCCTTGTATCTCTGATCTCTCCAGGACTGCAAACATAAATGAATGTTGGATTTTATCAAATGCTTTTTCATCATCTAAAGAGATTATCATGTGGCTTTTTCTTTCAGTTTAGGGTATCAAAACTTATGCTGAGACTCATAGCCAAACTTTGGGCATAGTGTAGGGAATCTTATAAAAGAAAGGGGAGACAGAAAGACCTGGAGGGGTCAGGAGCTCGACAAGGAGAGCAAGAGAACCAAAAAATCTGGGCACAGGGGTCTTTTCTGAGACTGATACTCCAAACAAGGACCATGCATGAAGATAACCTAGAACCCCTGCACAGATGTAGCCCATGGCAGCTCAGTGTCCAAGAGGGTTTCCTAGTAATGGGAACAGGGACTGTCTCTGACATGAACTCAGGGGCTGGCTCTTTGATCATCTCCACCTGAGGTGGGAGCAGCCTTACCAGTCCACAGAGGAAGACAGTGCAGCCAGTCCTGAGGAGACCTGATAAGGTAGGGTCAGATGGAAGGGGAGGAGGACCTCCCCTATCATTGGACTGGGGGAGGGGCATAGGAGAAGAAGAGGGAGGGAGGGTAGGATTGGGAGGGGATAGTGGAGGGGGCTACAGCTGGGATGCAAAGTGAATAAACTGTAATTAATAAAAATAAAATTTTTTAAAAAAAGTAAAATTTTTCTGATGATTAACATGTCTCGGACTTTACTGGGTTTTCATCACAGTGACAACAGCAGATCTGCTTGGTTTAATTTGAAAGTTATAACTATCTATGTATTGTGTTATTTGTCACTCCCTGCCCCAGTTGTATTATTTCCCCACAGATCTACAAGGAGTCCATGAAGTCACTTAAAGAGAAGGCAGCTCTACGTGTTTACCATGAGCTTTGCCTGTTTGAGGCTGTTCAGGCTTTTCTGAGAGCAGAGAAGTACTTACTTAGGTAATTTCAAAGGTTTCATTCAGCCAGTCTAATCTCTACTGAGTCATTAAATGCAGTAAGTACTTAAAAGCATCAATGTATAGACTTACTTGTCAGCATATTCAATTAGATCTGTTGCGTTCTTGGTTGACATGTTGGCTGGAGATAATCTTACCTAAAACAGAGGTGAGAGTCAGAATGTGTCATGAGATGCTTTGGTGGGCTACTCTTCATCCAACTTGTCTTTAAAGAAATGTTCTTATTTAAAATAAAAGATATAACCAGCTAACCTTACATACGTCATGTTTGCATCATTGGTGACGAAGATTGAAATTAGGCTCTGGCGCTCTCCTAAAGAGCTTTGCTTCATAGGTTTGGTAACATAACAGGAAAAGCTTTTTGGAAGTTAAAGCCATACATCATTCCTAGATGAAAACTCTATGATTACTGACTGAGTTTTGAAAAAAAGTCCAAAGACAGTCAATTATTCCTTACAGGGTAATTTCCTAGGGGAATCAGCTAATTTTCAAAACAGCCTCAAACTAGAAAGTAAGTAAATTGAAGTAATTTTGTATTCTAAAATACCCTACATGTCAGATTATTATAGATGAAAAATAAAAAGCACAGAACAGCTATATGTATAATTTAGAAGCATGAAACAAGTTGGCTATATGAACACTTAGCTAAAAAATCTCTAATTCTCTATTTTCCTACTTCTAGAAGGTTTTATTTCTTTCCAAACATTGATAATTTGGTTACATTCCTATGAGGAGAAAAGGTACCAAATATCTTCACTATTTCCATATGTGGAAGAAAACTAAAGATCTAATGCCTTTTTTTTTTTTTTTTTTTCAAGACAGGGTTTGTCTGTGTAGCCCTGGCTGTCCTGGACTTGCCCTAGACCAGCCTGGCCTTGACCTCACAGACTTCCATCCTTCCCGAGTACTGGGATTAAAGGCGTGCACCACCACCACCGTCCACTCCAATGCCTTTTTAATGGTTTAAAAATGCAGCACGTTTTATTCTAATTTTAATAGTCAACAGCGGAGCGAATGCAAGTGGTAGTCTTCAGTTAACAAATTAGACAAGACACGTTTGTTGGCAATTTTACTTGGGTTATGTCACTGCATAGTGAAACAATAGAATAAAATATTAAGATTCGTGTTCAAAGATTAGTTCTTTAGCAAGTGTTAGTGGGATCAACTGTTTTCTGGCTTAGGGTCAAAACACTTAATTGCAAATACCCCTTCTCCAAATAAACTAAAATTGAAAACCAGGCAGCTCTAATATCAAGAAAGCTTGTAGTGGTCATTCTGGCTTGATCCCGCCTAGTTGGCAGGAGGCTATCAGAACAGGCTCTAGGCTGGTCAGGATGGGTCAGCGAGCCCTGGACTACTGTGGATTAGGGTTTGCAAGAGCTTGGACTGCAGTCCAGACTCCCCACAACAGTGTTTCTCAACCTGTGAGTTGTGACCTGTTTGGGAGTCACATACTAGATATCTTGAGTATCAGATATTGACATTCCAATCCTAACAGTAGGAAAACTAGAGCTATGAAATAGCACCAAAATAATTTTGTGATTGGGGGTCACCACAACATGAGGAAAGTTGAGAAGCCCTGCCCTGGAGGATGCGCCCCCTGGATACTCACGCATTTGTGTTCTGGATGCCGTCCTATTCCCTAGAGGACCTGACAAGATTTTACCCTAGTACCTCTTCTCATTTCCTAGTGCAAATGCTTTGGGTCCTGAACTGGCCATTCACTTCATGCCACATATTTTCTCACCTCTCCAAGGAACCCCAAGGGTAGTGGGAGTCTGGTCTTGCTGTTTCCTCATCAACTGATTAATCTTGCCTTATGTATTTGATAACCAATAATGCTGTGTAAATAGTTATGGAATGAATGTGTCCAAAGGAAATGAATTACTAGAATATTCTCATCACTTCTACTTTGGGGGCATAATATATACATATTATACATAAAATATATATGCTTTTAACAAGTACTCTTAGAGTCCAAGATGTGTTTATATGTAAAAACTATTTCACAAATAACTATGAAATTTCTACCTACGAGTCAATTTTCATCATACACAATAGCATTTATAATGTTACAATTTATATACTACAAAATTCCTTCACAGATATTGTGATTTCATTTTTCCAATAGTTCTATTAGATCAGTTTCATTGCTTTTTCATATATGACAGAAGTTCCTTTAACTTTCATAGGTGAAGAACTTGAGGGTTGGGGAAGTAATAGATCACGTGATGATGATCGCATTATACATTGAGCCTCTTTTGCCTGCTAATGCTTTACTTAAATAGCTCATCACAACTCACAATAAAAGGTAGGCCTAACTAACCTATTTTATATAAGAGGAAACTGAGGTTAAGCAACCATCCAGTTTAACACGGAAACTCAAAGCTCGATGCATGCTTGCTTTCTGGTACTATTTTCATAAAAGGAGACTATAACAATACTCAGCTGTTATTATACCTACCAAAGTCCAAACCACAACTTGCTTTGCATAGTCTTTATCATTAATGCAAAGTATGAGAAGTACTGAAAAAGGAAATATTGCATATGACTATTCTTTTTCTTAAAGAATCTTTATCATAATAAATCATTATCAAATTTAGAAACCTAACTCCATATTAAAATCAGTCCAGTTAATATTTTTAGAAACTGAGATGATTTTTTTATGGTAGCCTTGCTCTGCTCAGTCACGTTATCAAGGCAGAGCCAACAGGAACTGCAGAAAAACAAAAACGAAAGCCATTTTTCTTGGATTCCTTCAAACTCTAAACAACCCTGAGAGACTGAGAGACTGAACAAATTATTCCATTCTTAGCATGAATATCTGAAAGTACTTGCTTTCTTTTCTTCATCACTGACTGAGCCAGGAGGGGGGCCATCAGGTGGAGCAGGCTGTTCCTCGGCAGGCAGGGAGGCACTTTTGTTTACATCTGTATCTAGGCAACGAGAATGCAGACTCAGATCAGGAACTATGGCAAGTGGATCTTTGCATTGACGGCATTTTAAAATTTGAAGCTAGTTTTTATACAGGTGGCGAAACCTAGAGAGGCTTCCAACTTGTTTGATGTTTGCCTAAACCTCCCCCCAACAGGTCCCTCACCTGCCAGCACCACATCTGCTGCTGATGAGCAGAGCATATCTCAACAGGGACTTCAACAAAGCACTTAAGAGTTTGTTGAGGTCAAATAGTTCTAAAATATTGGGAGATACATCCTATTGTGCCCAGGAGAAGAGCTAAGGGCCTTTGAGATTTTTTTTTTTTTTTTACTTTGTTTATATATAGTAAGAAACGTTAAGAGGGAAATATGAGAAATTTAAAAACTGAGTTGTCCAGGGATAAATACCTGAACTCATCGAGTTGATTTCCCAGCTTTACTGTTATACTTTTTGTTGACTTGTTTTTTTTACTTTTGAAAGGGAACAGAAATATGTTTTTCTTCTTAAAAAGCCAAAATACTAAGGAATCCTGACTGCATCAAAACTGAACTCTTCATGCTTCTGAACCATCTTCCCAGTGGCAGTTCAGGAGAATTGTGACTTAGGAGGGCTCTGTGATGTTAACAAGTCCCTCTTATACCGCAAGTACTTAAGTCTCTAGGATTATGGCATTTCTTGGGGGGTGGGGGTGTCATTGATTTCAACTACTCATTTCCTTTGTCTAGTTGAGTGAGAAGTGATCCAATGTTTCACACTCTACCCTAGATTTAGCTGATAAGCCTAACAAGAGTACAATTTCCAACAAGTGAGAGAGAAAAGAAAAAACAGTTACTTTATTCCTTAATCTTTGTCTAAGTATGCTGGTTGAGAAAGCTAACTTTTTTTGGGGGGGGGGGAGTTTTTAACTTTTATTAATTACACTTTATTCACTTTGTATCCCCCACAAACCCCCCTCCTCCCCTCCTAATCCCACCCTCCCTCCCCCTTCTTCACGCATGCCCCTCCCCAAATCCACTGATAAAGGAGGTCCTCCTCTTCTTCCTTCTGATCTTAGTCTATCAGATCTCATCAGGAGTGGCTGCATTGCCATCTTCTGTGTCCTGGTAAGGCTGCTCCCCCCTCAGGGGGAGGTGATTGAAAAGCAGGCCATTAGCAATCAGGCAATCAGTTCATATGACATAAACTGAAAGCTAACTCTTTTTTTTTTTTTTAATTTTTTTTTTGAAAGCTAACTCTTTAAGGCCATTAGGGGAACATACAGACAGTTCAGTAACAAAGGCAAATGGCATGGGTAAGACTTACATAAATACTGGATTTTGGCTTAGAAGAAAATTTTTTTCAGTAATTGCACAGTGAAGTGAATTAACTTAGTTTTAAAATGTTTTTCTTCCTCAGTTTCCCGGCCCAATTATACCTTTATCCCGCACCAAGTAAGACGGACACTAAATCGGCCACTGAGTGCAATTAGGTTGTTCTGGATTCTGAGAGAGTGCCTTGAACCCTTGACTTCTTATGCAGTGTGGGCAAATATGCACCATCTCTCCAAGCTTTAGCTCACTCTCCCAGAAGAGGAACTGATAGTGATCCCTTCAGGCAGCTGAGTAAATGCAACACACTGTGTCAGCAGTACTAGGCCACTCCACCTGGGGAGAGTCACTTGGTTCTAGAGTGTTCGATCCTATATCTAACAGAGGTTAATATCCAGTATATATAAAGGACTCAAGAAGTTAAACAGCAACATATCAAATAATCCAATTAAAAAATGGGGAACAGAGCTAAACAATTCTCAACAGAAGAATATCGAATGGCCGAAAAACACTTAAAGAAATGCTCAACATCCTTAGTCATCAGGGAAATGTAAATCAAAACGACTCTGAGATTTCACCTTACACCCATCAGATTGGCTAAGATCAAAAACTCAAGTGACAACACATGCTGGAGAGGATGTGGAGAAAGGGGAACCCTCCTCCACTGCTGGTGGGAATGTAAACTTGTACAACCACTTTGAAATCAATCACTTTCTCAGACAATTAGGAATAGTGCTTCCTCAAGATCCAGCTATACCACTCCTAGGCATATATCCAAAAGATGCTCAAGTATACAACAAGGACATTTCCTCAACCATGTTTGTAGCAGCTTTATTTGTAATAGCCACAAGCTGGAAACAGCCCAGATGTCCCTCAATTGAGGAATGTATACAGACATTATGGTACATTTACACAATGGAATATTACTCAGCAACAAAACCAAGGAAATCATGAAATTTGCAGGTAAATGGTGGGAACTGGAAAAGATCATCTTGAGTGAGCTATCCCAGAAGCAGAAAGACACATAGGGTATATAGTCACTCATAAGGGGATACTAGACATATAATATAGGATACACTTACTAAAATCTGTACACCTAAAGAAACTAATCAAGGAGGACTCTGGCTAAATGTTCCTCTGGGTCTTATATCCTTTTCTTTGTTCTTCTGATTTCACCTGTCTTGGTTCCACCTCTAATCTGTGCATGCCATTTCATATTTATAAATTATGTCTCATGCTCTACTTCATGATTCATACAATAAGGAACATAGTACAAGCCTCCAACTATTACAGATAAAAGTACAAAGAAGTTCAGAGACGTTAAATAAGTCACATGAGTCAATGATGACGTGAACTTGCTCCCAAGTGTCTTAAACCTTACTCTTGTGCCCATTCCCCCAGCCCCACTTAGGACACATCCAATGGAATTCTGCTAAGGCATGGAAATTTGTCTTCCTTGCTAAAGTGGTTCTCTGTGTTTGAAACCAAAGGAAAGCAGAGTGTTGACATGTTAGCAAGGAGACCTGTAAAAGCATGTTTTTGTTGGCCGGAATGAAATGACTTCTCCCAGGACGGAACAAGCAGACTCGTTAACTCTTCCTTTGGACCATTCAGTTCTTCCAGCTACTCACTGGAGGATAACCTTTTCTAAAAAAATATTTTTATTAATCCTTTGAGAATTTTATACAATGCATTTAGATCGTATTCACCCCAGTTTCCAACTCTGAGACACCCCCCCCCCCAAGCACAACTTCTGTTGCTGAAATACTCTTGAGTATCGGGCCTGCCCTAGAGTGTGGCTCACCTTCCCAGGGGCAAACCCTTAAAGAAAACTGGCTTCCATGACAAGCAGCTACCAAATGCCAACAGATCCTTAGCTAGGGACAGGATTTTGCACCCACCCACCCCCACATGCTAGAATTTTGTCTTGCTTGAGCTGGTAAAGGTGTTGTGTAAACTGTCACAATAATCTGTAAATTCGTATGTGCAACTACCATAGTATGTCCAGAAAACATTTTTTCTTCTAGCTATCAACAATCTCTAGCTGTTATAATCCTTTTGCCCCTCCTCCTCTACAAAGAATCAGAAGCCCTGTGGGGAGGGGCATGATTTTTCTGTCCCATTTAAGGATGAATACTCCATAGTCTCTTCTCTACATGTTCCCGGCTGTGGATCCCTGTTTCAATGCCATCTACTACAAAAAGGAGCTTCTTTGATGAGAGCTGAGAGATGTACTGATCTATGGGTATAACGATAAGTCATTGCGAGTCATTTTAGTATTATGTCCATTTAGCAGAATAATAATAGTAGGTTTTCTCCTCAGGGCTATGACCTGTTTAGATACAGGTTCTAGGCCATGATAATGGTGCCAGGTGTGCATGCCATTTCATGGAGTAGGCCTTAAATTTAATCAGAAGGTAGCTGGCTACTTTCAAGAGGTACATGTCACTATTGCACAGCCAGCTTATCTTTCCAAGAAGGTCATTGTTATAGCTCATAGGATTTGTAGCTGGGTAAGATTAATGATTCCTTCTCTAGTTCTATGACTAGCACCTTCCAGCACTGTGAAAACTAACTAATATCGATGAAGCTTCTAGGACAATTCCAGCTTGATTTCTTCAAGTTTTATGACTCGGGTATGTTTTTTCCTTCAGCGATATGATCTTACTGGCAACTTCTAACCAAGAGCAGCAGCAAAGGCCTGTAATGTTCTGGGGTCAATGGAACATCACTGGCCAACAACTCAACAAAAGAAGCAATCCATTTCTGGCACTGGGATAGCCCATGGTGTCTAGTTGGGTATTGTACTCCTGTTATGGGGTTTTTCCTATTAAACTCATTTTATATATGTGTGTGTACATAGATGAGTAAGTTTCTACAGTAGTAAGTTTTCATGTGGCTCTTTAGAAAGTCCTTACTGTTATTCCTCTCCATATCTCTTCTTCTACCCTGCCCTTCCATCCCTGCCCCCAGCCAGTATTTCCTGTTTCCTTATTCTCCTTTTCTACTTTACGTCATTATATTCTATGTTCCCTACTTTTAAAATAATTTCCCCTCTTCTATAATCCCTTACTAGTTTCCTAACCTCAATGGGTATTCCAAATCACACATATCTAAAGACTCAAAGATAACGTACACATATTAAAAACAATTACAATGTTTGTCTTTCTGGTTCTAGTATACTGAACTGTATCCTTCATACTGATTTTCATAGTGTCTCCCTCAGTTTTCACTCCCTCCAGCAGTGAATAGCATTTCCCTTTCCCCTCATCTACCAGCATTTGTTGTTAATAAAAACAAAACAAAACAAAAAAACAGTCTTAGCTATTCTGTCTGGCATAAGATAAAATCTCAAAGCAGTTTTGATTTGCATTTTATTGATGGCAAAGGATGTCGAACAACTTAATGGCAGCCCACATATTGGGAAAAGATCTTCACCAACCTGACATCTGACAGAGGGCTAATATCCAAAGTATATAAAGAACTCAAGAAAATAAAATCCAACAAACTAAATAATCCAATTAGAAATGGGATACAGAGCTAAACAGAATTCTCAGCAGAGGAATCTTGAATGGCCAAGAAGCACTTAAAGGAATATTAAATGTCCTTAGTCATCAGGGAAATGCAAATCAAAATGACTCTGAGATTCCATCTTACCCCACTCAGAATGGCTAAGATCAAAAACTCAAGTGCCAACACATGCTGGAGAGGATGTGGAGAAAGGAGAACCTTCCTACATTGCTGTTGGGAGTGCAAACTTTTACAACCACTTTGGAAATCAATCTGGCGCTATCTCGGAAAATTGGGAATAGACCTACCTCAAGATCCAGCTTCACCACTCCTGGGCATATACCCAAGAGATTCCCTACCACACAATAAGGATACTTGCTCAA